GCCTACGTGGTGTGGTCGCGGGATTTGTTCTTGACGATGGCGGTGGAGCCCGTGCCCCACATTCGGCACATGCTGTCTCGTAGCCGAGGACAAGCTCGCTGATGACAAGTTCGTTGAGGAGAAGGTCGCTGAAGACAAGTTCGCGGAGGACAAGTTTGCTGAGGGCCACTCTTCGGCACGCGGGCTTGGCGGTCCTTGACTTCTGAGCGTGCTGCTTGCTCGTCGCGTCTATCCCTGGCCGCGGCAGTTAGACTTGCTTGACTTTGTGACGGCGCGCGGCTCTCCCGCTTGCGCTCGCGAACAAAAAGTATTCCCGCCAGCCCGTCTAGAAAAAATGCCCAGGCGCTTTGCCCTGACCAGGACTGTGGAGGAGCATGCAGTGTAATCAAGGGCTGGGGAAGCAGTCGTATCCCAAGAGGGGGAGGGTGGAGGAGGAATCGGAGGAGGAGGAGGGGAGGAGGAGAGGAGGAGGAGGAGGAGGAGGAGGAGGAGGAGGAGGAGAGGAAGAGGAGGAGGAGTGGGAAGGGGATGTGGAAGGAGGGGAGGAGAGGAGGAGGAGGAGGAGGAGGAGGAGGAGGAGGAGGAGGAGGAGGACGGATGAGGAGGAGGAGGAGGAGGAGGAGGAGCAGGAGGAGGAGGGGAGGAGGGGGATTGAGGAGGGCGAGGGGGAGGGGGAGGGGGAGAGAGAGAGGAGGATGAGAGGAGGAGGGAGGAGAGGAGGAGGAGGAGGACGGAGGAAGGATGAGGATGAGATGAGGAGGAGGAGGAGGAGGAGGAGGAGGAGGAGGAGGAAGGAGGAGGAGGCGGAGGAGGAGGAGGAGGAGGAGGAGGGGGGAGGAGGAGCGAGGAGGAGGAGGAGGGGGAGGAGGGGGAGGAGGAGGAGGATGAGGAGGAGGAGGAGGAGGAGGAGGAGGGGGAAGAGGAAGAGGCTGAGGAGGAGTCTCGCACGCTCAACGTCGGATGGGGCACGCACACACACACGCCGTTCTCGTCGGATCGTGGCCACCAACGTGCTCTCTGAGCACACGCGGGTGGGACAAGCGTGAGAGAGAGAGAGAGAGAGAGACATATAGAGAGAGAGAGAGAGAGAGAGAGAGAACATAGAGAGAGAGAGAAGAGGAGAGAGAGGATGATGAGAAGAGGGAGAGCAGAGAGATGAGAGAGAGAGAGAGAGATGAGAGAGGAAAGAGAGAGAGAGAGAGCAGAGAGAAAGAGAGAGAGAGAGAGAGAGAGAGAAAAGGAGAGAGAGAGAGAGAGAGAGAGGGAAAGAGCGAGAGAAAGAGAAACGAGGAGAAGAGAGAGAGAGAGAACGAGGGTGAGGGGATATAGAGAGAGATATAGATGAAGAGAGAGAGATTGAGACTGAGAGAGAGAACGAAGAGAGACGCGAGAGAGAGACAAAAAAGGAACCGAAGAACTAGAGAGAAAAGAAAAGCTGAGGAGAGAGAGAGAACAGAGAGAGAGGAGAGAGAGGAAAGAGAGAGAGAGAGAGAGAGAGAGAGAGAGAGAGAGAGAGAGAGAGAGAAAGAGAGAGAGAGAGGCATGTGGGGCCCAGACGAGGTAGTCTATCCGCTCCTGCCTGGCCTGCTCCTGCTCTCGGGCCGCCCGTTCCCGCGGGCGGGGCTCGCGGCAACGTGCAGGCGGAGGAGGCACGATGATGCGGGCCTCCCTCGGGGCCTCAGCACGTTCTGCACGGACGTGGAGCGCGCGGGCTCTGTTGGCCGCGATCCTGGCACACTGATCGGAGGAGGGGGGGGGGAGGGTGTCCGAGGCGGGAATTTATTTATATCCACCGCCTGGAGGGTCAGTTTTCGGAGCCTCGGCAGGCGGTGGATATGGACACATTCGGGCCCCCGGGGGCCGAAATATATCCATATCCGCCGCCCGCTGGGGCACCAGGGCGTCGGTTCCCAGGCGGTGGATATGGATAAATCCCCGCCTCGTAGGGGAGCAGGGGGAGGCGGATGCGGGGCAGAGGGGGGGGGAGAATGGGGAATCGGCTGCCAGGTCGCGGCCCCTCTCTTCGGGGGAGCCGGGGAGGAGATCAGCCACGGCCTGGTCCGCCTCGGCATCATCGACACGATCCAAGGGGGGCGAACACGGTTCGGCCGTAGTAGGATCCGTATATGTAAATTCCTCAGGCTCGGATTCGGAGTCCAACAACCTCGCTTTTTCGGGGTCGGTCTTGCGCCGACCCCGAGGCAAGGCTGTCCAGGGAAACAAACAAACACCCAACGAATTTCTGAACTCCTTGAGGTCAGGCGGATACTCCGCCACAACTTCTTCGTCATCGGAAGAGGGAGGCTCAACCGAGGGGAGGAGGGATCGGGCGCAATCCACGATTGCTGTGGCTAGTGCTTTTCACAGGCCAGCTGGGCATGTTTTCTTGCTGGCGGTTAAAAGCTGGCAGTCTTGATCTTTGCCGAGAAGAGCCTTGTGGGCCTGGCGCCCATGAGAGCGCCTCCCATCTCGGGGGGTGACCCTCAAAAGGCGCGGCAAAGTCGCCATCCTGGCCGACAGGATGGTTGTGGGGGCGCGGCCGAGGGCACCAGGGTCCACCTCGGGACCTTGATACTCACACTGACCGAAAGTAGTGAGCGCCGAACAGGGCGCAGCAGCTAGGGCCCGCAGGGGCTCCATCGAAACGAAGTCGGGGCCCGCGGGGCCCACGTGGGGCACGTGGGATGCTCAAACCATCCCCCCGTGCCAACCCTCAGATGTTCCGATAGAAGCCGAACAGGTGAATGCAGAAGTTGTGGACCAATACGTAACTTCCCCGACTGCTTCCAAGACACCCATTGGGGACCCCAGACATGATCAGTACTTCTTAGCGAGGGGGGCTTCCCTCATGCCACCGAGACGCAGACCAAGTCTCACAGGCAGGCCCCCCCCGGTGTGTGATGGGGGAGGAGGGAGGAGGGAGGAGGAGGAATAGGCGGATGAAGTAGACCAGGAGGAAGAGGGCGAGCAGAAAGGCCAGCTGCCTCTTGGATACCTCTCGGTATCTCTTCGGATGTTTCTTGATAGCTTCTTGGGAGTCTCTTAGCGATTCTTGGGGGCCCCTTGGCGGTCGCGGGGGCCTCCAAGAGCGTCTTGGGTGCTTCGGGAGAGCCTCTTGGGCGTCTCTTGGGAGCCTGTTGGGGACCTCTTGGGGTCCTCTCGGGGCCCTCTTGGGGCACTTTTGGGAGCTTTGGGGGCCATCTTGGGTCCATCTGGGAGGAAATCGATGAAAAGGGGAGAGTCCTCAAGTGGGGTCCCTCCCCGGAGGCCAACATGGGTCCAAAACCTCAGGGAAGTCAATGATTTGTGCCTTTCCGTCGGGCCCTTCTTGGACGCTCTAACACCTCGCCGCCCCCCCCCCCTTTCCACGTCCAGGGGGAAGGGGTAGGGGGAGGGGTGCCCCCCCAATGGGGGAGAAGGGGATTGGAAGAGGAAGCGCTCTGAATCACTCACGCCCTAAACGGCTGGTGGGATTCTCTGGTGCCTCTTCGCCGAACGCAGACAGCGAATACGACGACGACGACGAAGGCCGCGACGACGACGGCAGCGGCGACGACGACGACGGCCTCGACGACGACGCCGACGACCCAACGACAACGACCACGACGGCGACGACGACGACGCCGACGACGGCGGCGGCGACGACTAGCACGGCGGCAACGTCTCCGCCCAGACCCCGCGAGCCCCGCCGACGAGTTTCCGTGGACGGTGTCCACGGGTTCGCCCTCGTCTGCTTCAATGCTGGGATCAGCGCGTGCGAGAAAGGCAGACGCTGGCATCAGGCATTGACTTTGTTCCGTGAAATAAGCCAAGCGCGCTTGGAGCCAAGCATCATCAGCTACAACGCTGCCATCATGGCGTGCAGATCAGGCGACCAGTGGCAGCACGTGCTGGCGCTGCTCAGGGAGGTCTGGACGGCGAGCCTGGAGCTGGGGGTCATCTGCCACGATGTCGGGGTCACCGCGTGGGAGATGGGCGGGCAGTGGCAGCGCTCGCTGTCGCTGCTCAGGGAGGCGGTGCGGCTGCGGCTGGAGCCGAACGCCGGGATCTGCAGCAACGCGGTCGGCGTGTGCGAGCGGAGCGGACACCCGTCCTGCCTCGGGGCGGAGGGCGCCGCCTTCGCCCGAGGGGCGGCTCCGGCGGGCGAGGCGTGGGGCGGGCGGAAGCACCCTCAGCTCTTCTGTTCTGGCCCGCCCCGCGCTCGAGCGCCCGTCTTGGGCAGGTGGGGCCACCAGGGGGGGGGGGGGGACGGGCAGGGGAGGAGCAGCAGAGCGAGGAGGAGGAGGAGGGTGCTCCCGGCCGCTCGAGGCGGGGCTTTGGGGCGCGCCACGCGGGCTGGTCACCTGGCTCGGGTGGGCGGCCTGACGGCCAGACCGAGTGCTTCGGTTGGGCAGTCTGGCGGTCGGCTGGTCGCAGAGAAAAGCTCTGTCCTCCTCCTCCGCCTTGTTGTCCTTGGCGTCCTCCTCCTCGTCGTCCTCGTCGTCCCCTATCCTCATCCTTGTTCTTCTCATCCTCTGTTCCTCCACGACTTCCTTCATTGTGGCGCGAGTCAGTCTTGACGGCCTAAAGAGCGAGACATCTCGGCCTTGCGGTGGTCGACGAGTCTTCGCTCAGTCGGCAGCGTGGCGTTTTTTTTGTGGCGGTGTTCCCTGGTGGCCGATCTCAGACCCTCAAGAGTATCATCACACCTCTTCTGGGGCCCATTGAAAAGTTTATAGAAGCCATGCTAGACAGTACGTGGCATTATTCCACGGCCCAGCGTGCCAGGGGACGCGGCGGCGGATATCGTGAAGTCCACGGAGCTCCTACCCCGTGGGCGGCCAGCGAAATTTGCTGATCAGCCGGATCATCACCAGGCTGATCGTCATTTTGCCGTCCGTCGTCACCACCGTCACCGTGTGACCATACTTATCGAGCTTATCGTCTGTATCAGCCTGACCCGTGGCCCAAGCGCATTGTATCGGTGATATGTCTTCGACCAATGGGCCCGCATTCGGCAGGTGCAGTAGGGAACGTGAAGTGGAAGGGATCTCGACCAGATGCAGCCTCGCTCACAGCCGACATCAAGAGGTGTGGGAACTCGAGGCAGTGGGCCTCGGCGCTGAGCATACTCTGCGACGCGCCGCATGCACGCGTCCGCGTCGATACCATACTGTGCAACGCAGCCATCAGCGCGTGCGGGAGGGGCGAACAGCTGCACCGGGCGCTGCTGCTGCTCCGCGGGATGGCGGGTGCGAGCGTGCAGCCCGACGTAACCTCTCCTACAATGCCAGGGGCAGCGCGTGCTCGCAGGGCGCCATCAGCACGACCTGGTGGGCTCCGACGTGCCTGGTGGGCTCCGCTCAAGCGGGGGAAGCACGACCTGGTGGGCTCCGACGTGCCTCTGGGCGGCCCCCAGACGCCACCAGACGGCCGGGCGGAGCTCTCTGAGGGCAGCAGCTTGCGGTCTCGGAGAGCCTCCAGGAGGCGCCCGCGACCGCCAGCAGAGGGCCCCCAAGACAGCCCCAGACGCCCCAAGACGTCCCAAGATGGCGCCACTGTGGCCCTGAGAGGGCCCCCAGGCAAGGCCCCTAGGAGGAGTCGAATCGTCAAATTCCTGAGGGGGGTCGTGCGTTTTCGGCGCCCTCCGCTGCCGCTCCGAAGGGCTCCAAGATGGGCCCCAGAGGTGCAGGAGAGGACCCACGAGGCCCAGACGAGCCCTCAAAGAGCGCCAGAGGCTCCCCCAGGATCGCCCGACACGGAACAGGTCAGCCTCCAAGGTTGCTCCAAGATCTCAAGGACGGCCCAAGCCCGCCCCAAGGCGACCCTCAGACCCTCTCAGACGGTCCCCGGGCCTCCCAGACAGGCCCCGCGGGGCCCAAAGGAACCACCATGGCCAAGAGAGGCCCCAGAGCCTAACAAGGGCCCAACATCGCCCCAAGAGGCTTCCCGAGAGCTCCAAGATGGCCTTCGAACGGCCAGAAAGGTGACCCCCAAGACAACTCTACTCGCTCCAGGTCCCATGGCTGCTAGAATGCCCAAGATGCTTCCACGATCGCTCCCGAGGTTGCCGCCAGGGAAAAGCGGGCACAGGTGCTCGAATCTCCCAGCTGTGCCCGGTGGGAACGCGACAGAGGTTCCCGTTTCGCCCACCTCCCCCACCGCCCCGCGGGCGGGCCTTGAGACCGTCCAGCAGCAGCAGGCATCAGCCAGCAGCTCGCAGCAAGCGGCAGCTATCGACAGCAACCAACAGCAAGCATCAGCGAGAGGTCGCAAGCAGCAACCACCTGCGCAGCCGGTAGCGAGCAGTATGCAGCCGCAAGCACTCGCAAGGGATAGTACGCAGCAGTAAGCACCATCAGTCATCAGAGCGCAGTTGCAGATGACAGCAAGCGGCAGTGTACGGCAGCACCACGCAGCAAGCCACGGGGCCGCGTGGGCGCTGTGGTGCTCAGTCGGCCCCTCAGGATTGCATGCGCCGTTCCGTACAGCGAACAAGCTCGACCTCTCGTATATTTTGCTTATCCATTCCGCATCATACCCGGGCTCCGCCGAGCTTTCTCTGTGAGATGTTTTGTCGTGACGTATTCACCGCAACATTCGCCCGGAAGGATAGTCTGCAGGCCTCAAGAATGTGCAGGACGTCTGCAAGATATTGTGCCGGTGTCCGCAGGCCTTCAGCATCAGCAGTAGCAGCAGCCACGGGTCGCCAGCAATACTAATGATGATCAGCGCGCAATAGCAGCAGCGACCATAACCAGCAAGGGAGCGGCAGCGAGCCAGCAGAGCGAGCAGCAGCAGCAGCCAGGATAGTCAAACACCAGCAAGCAGCATCAATGAGCGACAGGAAGCAGAACCCGCAAGCAGCAACAGTCAACAGCATAATGAATGCACATCAGCAAAAGGCAACACGAATCATCGGCAGGTAACATCAGCCGGCAGAGCTAGTATCAGCAACACGTGTCGACCAAGCTCAGCAAGTCGTAGCAAGAAGCAGACAGCAGACGCAATCAGCCGCAAGCAGGAGCAGGAGGATGGTGCTGCCAATCGTGAGTTCAATCCACAGGTGAACCCTACACCCTAGTCAGTTACAGTGCTGGAATCAGTGCGTGCGAGAAGGGTGGGCACTGGCGCCAGGCCTTGTCTTTGCTCAGCGAGCTGTCAGAAGTGAGCCTTCAGCCAGACGTCATCATTTATAGCGCTGTAGCCAGCGCCTGCGAGAAAGGCAGGCAGTGGCAGCAGGCGCTGCTGCTCCTCGATGAGATGAGGCAGGTGACTTTGAAGTTGGACCTCATCTGTTATAACGCTGGAATCAGCGCTTGCGAGAAAGACGGGCAGTGGCAGCAAGCGCTGTTCTTGTTGGGCGAGTTAGCACAAGTGAGGTTGGAGCCGCACGTCATCTGCATCTGAACTAACACCTCCCTTTGGCGTTCCCTTGGGACATCGCTTTCAAGACCTTGTGGAAGCTTAGGGGTAAGCTGAGTGGCCAACTTCCTCCACCGCTGTCCGTCGCCGTCCCGTCACCGCCAGCCATCGCCACCGCTGCTCGGGAAAGGCCCACGGCCAGCGCCCCGGCTCCGAGGGGAGCCCGCGCGCAGACCCTGGGAGGCCCTCGTCGCCGCCGCTGGATTCGCCTCGACATCCGGGTCAGAACGCACCCCGGCAGAGGTCCAGGGAGTAGCGGTTCGGTACCTTTCGGTTTTCCCAAGCCTTCCATCCTCCCCCCCTGGCTTCCGCCCCCTTTGCGCCTCCGCCTGGCTTCTGGCGCGGCATGTGTGCTCTCCCCCCGGCGCCCCCTGCCCGCCTCCGCGGCCTCTGGGCGGCCCAGGAGGGCCGCAAGAGGCGCCCCGGCCAGCCCTGGAGAGCCCACACGCCCCCCCCAGACTCCCCAAAGCGGCCCTGAAGGACCCCCCCCCAAACAAAAACAAATAAAAACAAAGCGGCCCTGAAGGACCCACTAGGGTTCTAACCTCACCGACGTGTTGTCGCAGACGCGGGTGCACGGGCCAGCCCTATTTTCAGCTACAATGCCGCCATCAGCGCGTGCGAGAAAGGCGGGCAGTGGAAGCAGGCGTTGTCGTTGATCACAGAGTCGAGCGAAGCGCTGTGGCAGCCGGATACCATTAGCTACAGTGGTTGCATAAGCGCGTGCGAGAAAGGTGGGGAATGGCAGCACGCGTTATTCTTGCTAAGCGACTTGCAGGAGTCGGACATGAAACCAGATGTGGTCATTTACAACGCTGGCATCAGCGCGTGCGAGAAAGGAGCTCAGTGGCAACGGGCGCTGTCCTTATTCAGCGAAATGTGGGAGGCACAGCTGGCCCCCAGCGTCGTCTCGTTCAACGCTGCCAGCAGTGCGTGCGAGAAATGCGGTCAGTGGCAGCACGCGCTGTTGCTGCTGAGCGATTGTTGGGATTCGAAGATGCACCCAGACGTCATGAGCTACAACGCTTGAGGAGGAGGAGGAGGAGGAGGAGGAGGAGGAGGAGGAGGAGGAGGAGGAGGAGGAGGAGGAGGAGCTGCTGCTGCTGCTGCTGCTGCTGCTGCTGCTGCTGCTGCTGCTGCTGCTGCTGCTGCTGCTACTGCCCATGCCCCTGGATCTGCTGTCGCTGATAATGCAAGCGGTGCTCTGGGCGCCGTCAGAATCAGCAAGCAAACCGCCCACCTTGAGGCAATGAGCAGTAGCAAGCGCACTCTGACAACTGGCACTCGTGGACGGTAGCCCACGGGTCAGCCCTAGTCAGCTACAACGCTGGGATTGGCGCGTGCGCGAAGTGCATGCAGTGGCGGCGGGCGCTGGCACTGCTCAGCGAGGTGAGGGAAGTGCGGTTGGAGCCCACATGCATCAGCTACGGCAGTGGGGTCAGCGCGTGCGAGTCAGGAGCACAGTGGCAGCAGGCTCTCTTGTTGCTCAGGGAAGCGCGCTGGAGGAAATTGGATCCGAACTTCCACGCCTACGGAATCGTAGCCAGCATGTGCGAGCAAGGCGGGCAGTGGCATCAGGCACTGTCGCTGCTCAGGGATGTGAGCGAGATTGTGGCGGAGTGAATCGTTCGGCTGCAGTGCTGAGGATAGCGCGGGGGAGAAGTGAGAGCAATGGTAGCGCCATGTCGCTGTTAAGCGAGATCTGTGAGGCGAACTTAATGACACTTATCATCGCGATCATCCCTACACATGCTTCCGCAAATCTGCGCGGTCCCGCCCGCGACGCTCAGCCATCATGTTGCACAGCACGGCGTATTGGAGAAGACAAGAGGGCCACCAGGAGGTAATATGGCACGCGGTTGCTTTCCATCTCCGTTCTGAGCTCATGCTGTTTTTGAGGCACAGTCTGACCAGAGCCGGCCACCGCGTGCAAGAAGGTGAGCAGTGGCAGCGGGCTCCACGCCTCTTGAGCGAGACGCGGGAGGCCAAGTTGGAGCCCGAAGCCATCGTGTTATATTACTGTGCGTCGCGCGTGCCAGAGGGTGCATCAAGTCCCAATCCGCCCGCCCTGAGCGTCTCCGCTGGGTCAGCTGCGCGATCTGGGTGCTCAAAGGCCCTTCGGGCCTCGTCGACTCGGCCCCAACGAGCCTCACAGGCTCTGGGGCTGCGCCTCGGAGTTCCTGAGAGCTGCCACGCGGCACGTGAGCCTCCAAGAGAGGCCCTGAGAGGTCCCAGTAGAAGCCCCAGACGCCCCAAATCGTGCAGAACATTTTTGCTTGCTGAGGTTTCTGTCGTCTGGGCTTTTCGCGGGAAGACTGCGCTGGCAGTGCCTCGGCCACGGAGTGGCCCGACGCGCGTGCACGACGAGGGCCAGACGGCCCCAAGACGGCCTCGGAGCGGCCTCAGCGCCAGTGTAGCTCCCAAGACGACCCCAAGAGAGCTCCAGGATATCCCTCGGACCGCTTCGAGACGGCCCAGGACGGCCTCGGAGAACTTCCAGGCAGCCTCAGAGAACCCGCAGAGGGCGCCATGAGGGCCCGAGAGCCCCAGTACAGCCCCCGGATCTGGCAGCAGCGCATCCCGCAGCAGTAGCCATGGGCAGCTAGGAGCACACATGAACAGCAGCTGGAAGCTGCATCGGCAGCAAGCAACAGCATCAGGCAGCATCAGAAAGCAGCACTTGCAACCAGCAGTAGCCTGAAGCAGCAGGTAGCGGTGGCGGCGAACATCAGCGGCAAGCAGCAGCAGCGGCACGCGTTCACGTCTTCAGCAGCAAACACCAGCAAGCAGTACCAGGCAAACAGCAACACACAGCACCAACCAGTAGTAACAGACAGCGTTACGCCGTAGCTGGCAGCAGCAAGCATCAGCAGACAACATGCACCAACAGCAAACAAGCAGCAGCGAACGACATCAGCACGCAGCACGAATCAGGCACCATCAGCGGCAGCACACAGCAACAGCAGGCAGCAGCACGCAGCGGGCAGCAGCGCGCACCAAGCAGAACTGGCCACACCTCGCAGCCACGAGCATCAACGGCACGCAGCAGCGGCACGCATTACCAACAGCACGCAACATCGGCAGCACGCAGTAGCATGCGCGAAATGCGAGGGTCGAGACCCTTTAATCATTTCAACTTTCCAGCAGCATGTCCACAATCACATGCTACTTCGTTCAGATTCTGCGGACGCAGTCCACGGGTCAGACCAAGTCAGCAGCTACAGCGCTGGCATCACCGCGCGCGGGCATTGCCTGCAGTGGCAACGGGCTCTGTCGCTACTCATCGAAATGCGGGAGGCAAAGGTGGATTCCAGCGTTGCCTCGAACAACTCTGGCATCAGCGCTTGCGAGAAATGCGGTGAGTGGCAGCACGCGCTGCAGCTTCTTAGCGATTTCCAGGTCTCGCAGATTCATCCAGTCAGCTACAATGCTGGCACCAGCGCCTGCACTGATGCGGGGCAAAGGCAGCAGGGACTGTGGTTGTTCAACGAAATGGGAACGGTAATGTTGCAACCGAACACCATTTCTTACGGTGCAGGAACCAGCGCGTGGGAGAAAGGTGGGCGTTGACAACAGGCCTTGTCGTTGCTCAGAGACCAGCGTGACGCGAAACTGGAGTCAAGCGTGATCTATACGGTAGGTTCGTGCGGCGTTGGCGCGCCGGCGACGCCGGCGAAGGCGTTCAAAGTTACATTTCGCGACGCGGAAGCATCGATGTACACGGTGACGCCACTGGACCCGACTGATTTCAACCTTGAGCTATCGGGGCCGCGATCAAGTCAAGGTGGAACGATCGACGCGGTGTCAGAAACCTTTGCGCGCGCCGACGCCGCACGAACCTACCGTACTGCAATACAGCGCTTAAGTGTAAGTGCTGTGGAAGCCTTAGATAGTTCACCCATGGCCCCGGGTTGAAGAGGAGCGGCGGAGAATGAGGAGCGGACGAAGGAGGAGCGAGGGAGGGATGGAGGAGCGGCGGAAGGATGAGGACGATGAAGAAGAGAAGGACGAGAAGGAGGAGGATGAGGAGGAGGAGGAGGAGGACGAGAAGAAGGAGGAGGATGAGGATGAGGAGGAGGAGGAGGAGGAGGAGAGCCCCCAGATGGCCTGATAAGGGGCCTTCAGAGGGCGCCGCGACGACCCAAGAGGCCCTTGGAGAGACCCGAGAAGGCCCAGGACGGCCCCAAGAGGACTCCAAGACAACCCCAACATGCTCCCCAGAACGGCCTCAGAGTGCCCCAGCGTGACCACCAGATCCAGCAGTAGCGAAGCCTGCAGCAGCAGCCAGGAACACCCAGCACCAGCAGGTAGCAGCAGAAATCCGCAGCAGGAAGCAACATCAGCCATCAGCAGCAGGCAACGTCAGCGAGCAGCACTAGCAGGCAGCAGTGGCAACCAAAAACAGCAGGCAACATCAGCGAGCAGCACTAGCAGGCAGCAGCATCCAGCAACTGCAGGCAGCATCAAGCACGCGTAGCAGCAGCACAACAGCAGCACGCGTTCGCTTCGTCAGCACCAAAAAGCAGTATGCAGCGAGCAGCAGCAGACAAGCAGCAACAACCAACACCAGACAACATTAAGCAACTGCTCTAAGCCGCAGCCTGCAGCAGCCCGCACCAGTCAACAGCAGGCGGCAGCATACACAATCATGAGCAAACGGCAGCAAGTAGAAGCAAGCAACACGTAGCAACCGCAGACGGCAGTGAGTATCAGCGGGCAAGTTAAAGACTAATGAAGCAGCACGCAAGAAGTCAGGTCAGCAGGCCAGCGTACGAGCAGGACATCAAGCGATCAAGGTGTCGGGCCAGCAAGCTAGCAGCCACACAGGCATGTCAGCACGCAAGCAGGCACGCAGGCAAGCAGAACCGGCAGCAACCAGCATGAGCCTCCAGCAGAATGCAGCAGCGGCAAGAAGAAGCAGCAACACGCGGCAGCACGCATTAACAGCGCAAGCGCTAAGCAGCAAGCAGTAGGCAGCAGGCAGCAGGCAGCAGCAGCAGCAGCAGCAGCAGCAGCAGCAGCAATAAGTCGCAGCAAGCAGCAACGCGCACCAACAAACAGGCAGCAGCAGGATAAACTCCAAACAACAGTAAGTAACACCAAACATAACGAGCAGCAAGCGGCGGATAACGGCATCGAGCGGACGAGTAAGCGATGAAGCAAGCACGCGGGCAAGCAGGACAACATGGTACCAGGCATGCCCGCCAGCATGCAAGCAGGAACGCCGGGGAGAAAGCTGTTGGGCTGGCAGGCTGGCAGCCATGCGCTCAGGACAGCACGCAAGCAGGCAATCAGGCAAGCAGGCAACCGATCTTCATCCCTTCTACGAGTCAGCTGTCGTGGACGGTAGTCCCCAGGTCAGCCTTGGCCATCTCTACAATGCCAGGAGCGCCGCGTGCCAGGAGGGTTCCATGATCAGGTTGCGGCCCGGCAGGCCCTGGCGGGCCCATTTGCCTGCAGGGCGCTCCAAGACGACCCCAGAGGGCCCCAGGAGAGCTCCTAGACGTTCCAAGAGAGGCGCTGGACCGCCCAAGAGGGCTCAAAGACGGCCCCGGAGGGCTCCAAGAACGCACAAGAGCGCCCCAAGGCTGCTCAATATGGCCTTCCGACGGCCACAGGGGCCCCCGGCGCGCCCCAAGACGATTCAAGGGGGGCCTCCAGGAGAGCCTCCGGGAGCAAAAACGATTGATGTTCTCGTGGTTTGTGGTACACGTCCGAACATTCCCTTCTCCGGGCCGCAGATCGTCCACGAGGGCCCTAGAGGCCACCCGATACCGCCCCAAGAGGGTCGGAGTGACCCCAAGATGGCCCCTAGACAGCTTAAAAGGGCTCCGAGATGGCCCAGCAGGTCCACAAGACGGCCCAGCTGGCCGCCAAGATGGCCCCAAGACGGGCCCAAGGCGGCGCAGAAGCGCACCAGGGTGGCCCCAAGGCGCCTCCAGAACGTCCACGGACGCTCCAAAGCAGCTCCCAGTGGCCCGAAGAGCCGCCCAGATGGCTCCAGGAGGCCTTGGAGGGCCCCACGGGAGCCCAAGAAGCTTGAAAGAGGGCCCCAAGAGACCTCCAAGAGGCCCCCGAGAGGCCCCCCCCCCTCGCGTCTTCCCTCCCTGGCTCTCCCTCCTTCCTCCTCGCCCCTCTCCTGGACCATCGCTCCTCCTTTCTCACTCCTCGCGTCTTCCCCCTCCCTCCTCGATCTCCTCGATCTCCTCGATCCTGTCTCCTTGACTCTCTCCCGGCAGCAGGTTGCATCGGCAAACTCTGGCGGCGAGATGCAGCAGGCAGCAACAGCAAGCAGCGGGCAGCAGCACGCGCCAAGCAGACTTGGCCATCAGCAGCACCCTGCAGCTCTAGGCAGCAACAGCGCGCAGCGGCGGCAACCATTGCCAATGTCACGCAACAGCGGCAGCAAACAGCAGCACGCAGTAGCATTCCCCGGAATGCGAAGTTCGAGCCCTACGTTATCATTCCGTCCTGTCGTCAGCATGTCCACAGTCACATGGTAGTTCGTGAAGATTTCGTGGACGTAGTCCACGTGTCTTCTCTCGTCTGCTACAATGCTGCGATCAGCGCGTGCGAGAAAGGCAGACGCTGGCATGATGCTCTTACTGTGCTTAGTGAGATAAGGCAAGCGCGTTTGAAGCCCACCGGCATCAGCTACAACGCTGCAATCATGGCGTGCAGATCAGGCGACCAGTGGCAGCACGTGCTGGCGCTGCTCAGGGAGATCTGGACGGTGAGCCTGGAGTTGGGGGTCGTCTGCCACGATGTCGGGGTCACCGCGTGGGAGATGGGCGGGCAGTGGCGGCGCTCGCTGTCGTTGCTCAGGGAGGCTGTGCGGCTGCGGCTAGAGCCGAACGCCGAGATCTGCGGCAACGCGGTCTGCGTATGCGAAGCGGAAACCCGCCCTGCCTCGGGGCGGATGGCGTCGCTTCCGCCCGAGGGATTGCGACGGGCGAGGCGGGGGGCAGCCAGAAGCACCTTTAACTCCTGGGAGGGGGCAAGCTCTTTGCCGAGGTGGGCCTTTCGAGGAGGGGGATTCGGAAAAGCTTTGGACGAGGGGAATCTTCGGCAAAGGGGAAAGACGAGGGTGGGGGTAGGGAGGATGATGATGAGGATGAGGATGAGGATGAGGATGAGGAGGAGGAGGAGGAGGAGGAGGAGGAGGAGGAGGAGGCGGAGGAGGAGGAGGCGGAGGCGGAGGAGGAGGAGGAGGAGGAGGAGGAGGAGGAGGAGGAGGAGGAGGAGGAGGAGGGGGTTCTTCCCTGAGCAATCCCTGAGGGCTGGACCGGCGCTAACTGTTCAACTGCTGTGGGTAGCGGGTGCCGCCGCCTTGGATGCCGCCTCCCGCTCCCGAACACGTGCTGGGAGCGCTTGCATGCCCGACGTTTGAGGAGGGGCCTCCAGCCCTCGTGGGAGGTGGCTGGCCTAGGGAGGCGGCGGAAGAGTGGCAGCATGGTGCATGTAGGCCGCTACCCGCCGAGAAGACTGGCTCAAACGAGCACCCTCCTCTCGATAATGGGGGTGCAGCCCAGCGCCTGTGCCACGAAGGGTCGCCGGGGCTCCCGAAAATCTTACGCGGCGGGCAGTCCCTGCCAAGAAGAAACAAGAGGCGCTGTGCGTAAGCTCCGCACGCGGTGCAAGCACACACAGTCGATTCATTGTCACGCTCGGTGATACGCGTGCGGGCCAACGTATGGACCTTACTGAAATCGAGCACTCCTCGCCAGGTCTCAGCACATCCTATCATGGGCCTGGTCCCCGGATCCTTCTACAGAACCAGACATCTAAGACAACTCGCTCTGCCTTCATCCAGAGTTTCCCACTGGTGTCAGCCCCCCCCCAGACTTCAGGAAACGGCCCTTGGGTCCAGGGGGGCTCCCATCGAATCTCTCGGGAGGGAAAACACAAAACTTTGGCCGTAAACATGGTCGCGAATAAAAGCTTCACAATCTGAGCCTTGATGCTGTCACGATCAAGAGGAGAAGGCTGAGGGTGGAGGGACAGGGCATGCTTGGCAAGGGAGTCCGCATTCCAATTGCTGGCAGCAGCCCTCCTCCCCATGTGGGCTGGGGCGTATTGCCCCAAAACGTAGTGACCATGTTTCTCATGCAGTGTCGCACCTCGCCTCATGCCAGCAGATCAGTGCTTACGAGGTTCTCTTCAAAAATTGTAGGTGGTTTTGATGATGACAGGGTCGAACCCAAACCTCAAAGCCCTACCCCTGAGGAGGTGCAGGTCAACAAAAACATCGTAGTACTTATTGCCGTCTTACATGACTCCCAGCTAGACCTTACTAGAGCGAGCAGAAACCTCAGACCGAACAGCTTGTTGCCACAAGGCATCTTCTGCACTTCGGCCGGGACCAAAAGCACAGGAGCGTATGGGATGCAACGCGTTGAACTCAGTCAGCATAGGCCTCCTGAGGCGCTCCCAGACACGAACGGGGCCCGCACACAATAAAATGTGTCTCAGACCTCTTTATGGGGAGCAACATCCAGAAAAGCTGTTTCGGAAACATTCCCAAGGACTCCTGGATGAGGGCTCCGAAGGTGTCCAGAGCTTTGCCCGAAGCTAGCGAGAGATGCCGAGGATGAAGGCCGCCCAGCGATTGTGACGTCAGCGCCGAGAAGCTGGAACTGGCTCTTCGAATCTCTCCAGCGGACGGGCGCAGAAGATGATTCCTGCCGGGAACGAAGGCGGGGGAAGGGGGTGGTGTTGGCGTGCCAAAAACTGGCCAGCGCCGAACTCTCCGCCTCCAGAAGGTCTCGAGGGTTCGCAGAAGACAGCCCAGGGTGAGTTTGGATAACGGTGGGACTCCACTTCTGGTCGCGTTTCGGGAGCCTGTGCACCGCCCTGGCCCCTCCCCTCAAAGCTTTCTCCGGCCATTCGACCCAGGAGTCTTGTTCCTTCTTGCTGATGGCCTTGCTGTCCGTCTTGAAATCCTCCGCCTGGGAGGCGAGGAAGTCCTCAAAGTCGGTGAGCCGAGCGTCCGGGGTGGGGCTCCAGCGCCCAGACAGGGTCGCGAGCCCGTGCAGTCCGAGCGTTGAGCCCTTCCGCCAGGGCAGGGCGGGGAACGTCCATCTGGATCAGGTGAGCTGTATCCTGCTCCAGCTGATCCCTCTCACAGGGGTCCTGGTTGGGGTCTCGGAGTCCCTCTCTGAGCCTGCCAGCCGCGCCCCACGTCTCGTTCAAGTGGTGAGCGTGCCATTCCCAGCCAGTGTCCGCCGAATTCGTAGCCTCATTCCTGGGCTTCGAGAGCATGGGGACCCAGCAGGCCTCGAGACAAGCCACTTTGCGCCCCTGGACTAGTGACCTCGCACCCCGCGAACGACTCGAGATCCAGCTCTAAGGTGTCAGAATCCAGGACCCAGGCGTGACTGAAACGCGCCTGTTCGATGCTGTCGCTGATGGCGGCCGCCGCCGCGTACTCGGCGACGTCACGCGCAGGTCTCCGATCTTGTGGTCGGGGGTGGGTCTCACAGGTAACTCGACAGGCAGTCGTTGATAGCGATACGTAAGCTGGTACATTTGGATGGCCCTATCCCGCAGATGGATCCTAACGGGCTTGTGGGGTCTGCCATTCCACGTGAGGTCCGCTCGGACAGTCTTGGTGGTTTTAGGAAATTGCCGATCGTCGGAAGACACTGAAGGAGTGACGCACGTAGGCTCTCTCCGGGCGCAAATGAAGCCCCTGCAAGGCGGTGCGGCAGCCCCGAGGACTCCAGCAGGTGCGGTTCGAGGTTCAAAGTCGCCTCCCGCGAACAAAAAACACACGCTCTTGCTGTAGCGCCTGACTGGTCTGCTTCAAATGCGGAGATTCGTTTCGCCGAGCGCCGTGCCCGACTTCAAATACACACTAACAATGGTGAGGGGGAGCCAGGAAGGGATGTCGACCACAACCTTGATCGCCAGCCCTGGTTCGATGACACCGTTGTCACCTTCAGGCCGCCTGATGCCTAAGCTCTGCCGAATCAGAACCGCCACCTCCCATTTAGATTTACCAGTCTGTCCTGGGACCGATGGCGACGCCAACATGCGCAATCCCAGCTTGTCGACTGAGTCGCACTTCTCACCTTCAGTCTCCTGAATGAAACCGACGTCCTGAGCAAGGACAATGAGACCACTGGTGATGATTAGCCTTTCACGCAAAGTAGACCAAGCATTGCCAAATGAGTTCTCCCTTGCCATACACGCCAACCTCGGAGGAGCAATGAGGACGAGGGGAGGGACAGGCATGCTATATCTGGACAAGGGCAGGCCGCAACACAGCGACACAAGGTTATGAAAGACGGCATTGATTCTTGGCATAAACAACGGGCAGCCTCTCACAGAGTTCTCGCTTTTCAACCCGCAGGTCAGGGTCGTTGGCGTGCATGTCGAAGACTGGTACTTCAGCTGCCCCCGAAGTAGTAGCTGCTGCCAAAGGAGATCGAGCACGAGCAGCTTCGGTAGCAGCCTCAGCCATCTCCGAATCGTCATCCTTGACCGGGCTCGCTGCAGGCCTGGATGCAGAAGCCGCCGATCCGGTTGTTTTGGACGTCTGTCGGCCCAACGGCTGCTCATACTTCTGGAGCGCCTCGGACTGCAACAGAACCTCGACTGCCTCCTTACCAACGCCAGCTTCGACGTCGTTCGAGTTAAGCTGAGGATGAGCAAGAGGCTTGTCAGGGATAGTCTCGATAAGGTCACGGCGTAGAGCTTCAATCTCCATATCAAAAACGATCCGTTGGGCGCGTAATGTGTCGAGCTTTTCGTGTGCTTGCTGGATGACCGACATTTGCTCGCTGATGTCTTTCTCGAGTTTCTCCCGCTTGGACTCTGACTTTGCGAGCTTCCGGCCTGTGTTGGTGTGTTGGTGAGCGCTAGCTTGCATGCTACCATCGCCTTCCAAGCATCTCGTAGTTGATTTTCCAATGCTTTCTTGGCCTCCTCGACGCCAACTCCAATCTTGTCGACGGCCTGGATGGCACTCTCGTAGCTCTTGATATGATCACGTAATTGCATTTACTTCCCCGCCTCCTTGAATACTGGTTCGCCACCGCCTGCACTTTGTGTGGGGGACTGGTCCTTTGTAGCCATGTTGTTGAGCATCTGGTCGTAGCGCTTCTGGAGCACATTGCGCTACTTCTGAAGTCGGTCATCACGGTGTGCGCCACCTCCACCGTCACGCGATAGCGACCATACACAGGAGGAGGACGTTCTCCTTGGTTTTCCTTCGCGTTCCGCCTGGCGGCGGTGATCACATGTGGTGGGGATGCCCTGCCAAACCTGCACTGCACCCTTGAAGCCCAGTTCGTGTTGAGACCACAGCCGCCGCAAGACCAGAAGGGTTGCCGAGGGTCTGGGAGGATCTGCCCATCGCTCATGGGTTCTCCCTTAAGAGCGACAAGCTTGCTCCGACAGGAGCTCACGCGACGAAAGTCGTACAGGCTCGCAGCAGCACTTGGCCGTTCTGAAGAGGCATGCTGTTGCAAGCTCAGCGCGCACATGCCTGAGCCTGAACGGCTGAGGAGGTGGAGGAGGAGGAGGAGGAGGAGGAGGAGGAGGATGAGGAGGAGGAGGAGGAGGTGGAGGAATATCAGGATGATGAGGAGGGTGCTCCTGGCCGCTCGAGGGGGGCGCGCCACGCGGGCTGGCCGCCTGGCTTTCGAGGTCTGGCATCGGCCAGCGGGGCTGACGGCCAGACCGAACACTTCGGCTGGGCGGGCTGACCGCTGGCTGGGCAGGCTGACGGCCAGCCAGGTAGGCTGACGGCCAGCCAGCTAAGCTGACGGCCGACGCCTTGGGGGACGGCCTGCCACAAAGGAAGGCTCTGGCCTCCTCCTCCTCCGTGCCGTCCTCGGCATCCTCTTCGTCGTCGTCGTCGTCCTCCTCCTCATCCTCAGTCCTCCTCCTCCTCCTCCTCCTCCTCCTCCTCGATCTTCTCTCGTACCCGCATGGGTTCGGCACTCGCCTGGCAGTTGCGAGCGTGACTCGCGCCTTCGAGGACGATCGAACCGAACCCTGACTTTCTCATCCTTTGCTCGTCCAATCCTCCATTCCCCCGTCTGTTCGTCGTTGTTGTCCTCGCCGTCCTCCCCATTCATCATGACGCGATAGAGTCTTGACGGCTTCAAGAGCGACACACCTCGGCCACGCGGTGGTTGACGAGTCTTCACTTTGTCGGCGGCCTGGCAGTCTCTTTCATGGCGATGTTTCGTAGTGGGTAATCTAACGCGCTCGCGATTTTCATCACACATCGTCCATGACGCCCTGACCGCCTGGAACAAGGGGCTCGAGGCTCTGCTGCTATATATCCCCTGATCTGCGTTCATTCCGATGGCTTCGCCCCGAATGGTCCAGGGGCCCATTTGGGAGTTTACAAAAGCCATGCCAGACAGCACTGTGCATCACACTACGCCCCAGCGTGCCAGTGGACACGGCGGCGGGTATCGTTGAGTCCACGGGCTGGCCTCCCTGAGCGTTGGCCACCGCGAGGTGTTCAACACCAGACTCACTTCCGAAGGGCGCACCTGGCGTGTGACCCGACCTCCGCGGACCCATCCGTGGCAGCCACTGTCCTCCTCCTTCACCTCCACCTCTCGCTCCTCCCCTCCTCCTTACCAGAAGCCGCCGAGAACCTCAGGAGATCTCGGGTCCCAGCAGGATCCCCCAGAGGGTCTGATAGGCCAAGAACATTGAATCTCGCTCGGTTCTCGGAGGAGGTTTCGCGTTTCTTTTTCCCCCTAGACAGCTTTCTTTACAGGTTCTATATGCTCTGTCTAACGCCTGGTGTGGCCCATCGTGGCCCGCCACCGTGGCCCCCATCGTGGAACCCCATCGTGGCCCCCCATCGTGGCTGCGCAGAGCTGTGTTGGTGTCTTCTGCCGCAAGGGTGTCGCGTCGAGCTCGAGGACGCAGAGCGCTCCTGGTCCCCCCTCCTCCTCCTCCTCCTCCTCCTCCTCCTCGTCCTCCTCCTCTTTTTTCTCTCCCCCAGAGCCCTCCTCCTCCTCCGCTGCCTAATCCTCCTCCTCCTCCTTGATACTACCTCCCCCTCCTCCTCTCCATCTCCTCCTCCTCTCCTGATCCTCCTCATCTCCCAGAGCCTTTCCTCCTCTCACCTCTCCTCTCTCATCTCCTCTCTTCTCCTCCTCATCCTCCTCTCTCTCCTCTCCCCTCCCCCTCATCTCTCCTCCTCTCCTCCTCCTACTCCTCTCCTCCTCCTCCTCTCCGTCCTCTCCCTCCTCCTCTCCTCTTTGCTCACCCTCTCCTCCTCCTCCGCTCCTCCTCTCCTCCTCCTCCTCCTCTTCCTCTGCTCCTCCTCCTCCTCCTCCTGCTCCTCTCCTCCTCCTCCTCCTCTCCTCCTCCTCCTCTTTTTTTTTTCCTCCCCACGAGCCCATATCTCCTCCTCCCCTCCTCCTCTCTTGTCTGCTCATACTCCTCCCTCCTCTCCTACTCCTCCTCCTGCTCATGCTCCCTCCCCAGAGCCCCTTCTCTCCTTCCTCCTCCTCCCTCCTCCTCCTCCTCCTCCTCCTCACTCCTCCTCCTCCTTCTCCCCTCCTCCCCTCTCTCTCCTCCTCATCCTCCTCATTACATCCTCCTCCTCTCCTCCTCTCTCCGCCTCCTCCTCCTCCTCCTCCTCCTCCCCCCCCCTCCTCTCTCCTCCTACTCTGCCCTCCTCCTCTCTCCTCCATCTATCCTCCCATTCCTCCTGCTCCCTCATCCTCCTCATGCTCCTCCTCATCCTCATCCTCCTCCTCCTTAATCGTCATTCCTCCTACTCCTCCTCCTCCTCCTCCTCCTCCTATCTCCTCTCATCCCTCCTCCTCCTCCTCCTCCTCATGATCCTCCTCCTCCTCCTCCTCATCCTCTCCTCCTTTCGTCCTGCTCCTCTCATCCTCCTCTGCTCTCTCCTCCGCTCCTCTCCTCCTCCGCGTCCTCATGTCATCCTCCTCCTCCTCCTCCTCCTCCTCCTCCTCCTCCTCCTCCTCCTCCTCCTCCTCCCCCAGAGCCCCTCCGGGCGGGCCGGCGAGCGGTCCAGGGCGGTGGCTCTGGGCGTCATTCCGCAAGGGCCCGGGTTCGAACCCCACGGCTGGCACTGTTCCCAGCCAGCACCGCGGCCAGCGCTGGCCTGCAGGATGCACGAGGTACGCGCGTGCGTGCGTATATACAGGGAGGACGACGGAGGGAGCGAGTGAGAGAGAGTGAGTGAGAGAGAGAGAGAGGGCCGCAGGGAGGCTTCGGAGGCCGGGCGGGAGGCCGCGCCCTCGGTCGGGGTGGCCCCCACCCCGCCGCTCCGGCAGGAGGCCGCGGGGGCCCTGCGCGGCTGGTCGGACGCCGTGCTGGAGCTGGTGCGCGACGTGTCGCGCGGGTCGGCCCCCGATGCGGCGCCAGCGGAGGCCCGCCAGAGGGCTCGGGGGGAACGCTGCCACCCTCCTCGTGCTCGTGCTCGTCCTCGTCCTTGTCCTTGCCTTGTCGTCGTCGTCGCCGTCGTCGTCCTCCTCCTCCTCCCTCCTCCCTGCTCCCTCCCCGCTCCTCCCTCCTCCCTCCTCTCCCTCCCTCCTCCCTCCTCCCTCGTCCTCATCCTTCTCATCCTCCTCCTCTTCCTCCTCCAACGTTTTCCATGATAAAGAAATCCTTTCTGTCGCACCCCAGGCGAGTGGGTAGGGCGGGCCATGCGTGATCGTCTAGACTTCCTCGCCTTTCATGAGCCTGAAGCTGGGAAATTGCAACAGTTTCACGAATGGAGGGTGGGTGGTCTTCAAAATGTGCTTGTCGCCTTAGCGCCGCGCACATTCGTTCTAGAAGTTTTTAGTAGTTAGTTTCACGGATGGAGGGCGGGTGGTTTTCAAAATGTGGCTGTTGCTTTAGATCCGCGCGCATTCGTTTCAAAGGATTGCAGCAGTTTCATGCATGGAGGGCGGGTGGTTTTCAACATGTGGCTCTCGCCTTAGCGCCGCGCGCATTCGTTTTTTTTTTTTTTTTTTTTTTTTTTTTTTTTTTTTTTTTTTTTTTTTTTTTTTTTTTTTTTTTTTATAAAATATTAAACAAAAGAAAGTACAAACAAACAAACAATAACAATAAAAAAATAAAATTATTATTAAAGCTTGCAGTATTTTCGCTCGCTTCAGCACCGCGCGCACTCGTCTTAAAGGCTTGCAGCACCTTCATGTATGGAGGGCGGGTGATTTTCAAGATCTGGTTGTCGCTTCAGCGCCGCGCACGTTCGCTTTACAAACTTGCAACAGTCTCACGAATGGATGGCGGGCCATTTTCAAAACGTGGCTCTCCTTTTTAGTGCCGTGCACATTCGTCTTACGTGCTCGCAGAAGTTTCATGGACGGAGAGTGGGTGGTCTTCAAGTTGTGGTTGTTGCTTGAGCGCCGCGCACAATCGTCGTAACAGTTTGCAGCACTTTCAAAGATGGAGGGCGTTCTTTTTCAACATGTGGCTCTCGCTTCAGCGCCGCGCACATTCGTCTTGAAAGTTCGCAGAGGTTTCGAGGCTTCGTCCAGGATTCGTATGGGCGAAGTCCCAGGAACGGTGTTCTGGCATGGCACGATTGGGGACTCTCCGACGTTTGTCTTCTAATGGGCCACTTTCTGCAATGAAAATGCATTCTTCCAGTGATCTATGAAGAGCAAGCTAGGAGGCCTTATTGCAGCATCGTTGACGCGTTTTGGAAATTCACTGGTCCTCCTCCGCTCTTCCTCCTCATCCTCTTCCTTCTCCACAATTACTCAATCTGAATACTACTCTCCTCTCTCTCCTGGTGACGTCTGGGTAATATTCGGCCCCCCTCAGCGTATCGTTTTTTACACAGGATTCCCTGGAAACGTTTTTTTGTGTTCTTTGTTTTTCTTCAAAATGCTGCTCTCGCTGAAGCGCTGGCTTCATTTTCGGGCTACCGCTCGTTCCGAATTGTGCTCCTGCTTCAGCGCTGGCCTTATTTGCTTCCGCTCGTTCCGAGTCGTGCTCCCGCTGCAACGCTGGCGTCAGTATGTCTTGCGCCATGCCACGGCACGGTTTTCGGACCTTCCAAATAGGCCCCATAATCTAAAAAATGCCCTCTGGAAAAACCATCAGAAGTGATTATAGATTCGGTGTCGATTCGTTGACTTTTGGGGTCGCAGAAGCCCCCCAGTTTGGGGCGTCGCCACGACATGCTGTGTCATGCTACGCGTTGATCTTCAACACCATGCTATTCCGTGTAATGCTATGCCATGCTGCGACATCCGATTGTGCGAATAGAAGATGAGATCTACGCCATGGTGAGGGATGGGAGGGAGGGGTAGGACGTCATATAGGACGCGAGCGCACCTAGCTTGTCCTCTCCTCTTTCTGCCTCCCCCTCCCCCCACCCTCTCCCCCTCCCCTCCGGCCCCGGATGGCGTGGCGGCGTGGCGGCGAGGTGGCGAGGGGCGATCGGGTGGCAAGGGCTTCGCACCATGCGCCGGCCCTGTCCGCGTCAATCCTGGGCTCGGGACGGGTGTCTGTGCCTCCCTGGCCCAGACCATGAGGGCGTGTGCACCGATCCTGAGCCCAGGATGGGCCTGGCGAGGATCGGTGCACGTGCATCGTATCCTTCCTTCTGGGCGGGGAGGAGGGGGAGGAGGATGAGGAGGACGAGGAGGAGGAGGAGGAGGAGGAGGAGGAGGAGGAGAAGGAGGAGGAGGAGGAGGAGGAGGAGGAGGAGGAGCAGGAGAACTAGTCTAAACCAAGGTGCATCAATGATATTGCAATCAACCCTCCCTCCGATTTTCGTTTTCATAGGTCCCTGAAAGAATGTATTTTCATTGCGGGAAGTGGCCAATGTGAGGACAACCGTCTGAGAATCCTCAGTCGTGCCAAAACATCACTCCTGGGACTTCAATGCCGCAAATCAACTGTTCTTTTACGTCCTGACGATCCTGCAGCGGGCCAGAACACCATTCCTGCCCGCCCTTTCGACCGGCCTCGGGGCGCGACAGGGAGGAGTTATCTATAAGGACGAGGGTTGGAGGAGAAGGATGGATGAGGAGGAAGCAGGGATGACGAGGTGGGAGGAGGACGGCGGAGGAGGGTGTTTGGAGTAGGGCCAGGACAAGGACCAGGACCAGGATCCATGAGAAGGGAGGGAGGGAAGGAGCAGGAACGTCCTCCCCCGCCCCCCCGCCCCTTCACTGCTCCCTTCCCTCTAGCCCTCCTCCACTTCCCGTGACCCCTCCCGCAGCTATTCTGGCTCAAGCCACTATGGCTGGAGCCATGGTGGCTCGAGCCAATGCCCGCGAAAACTTCATGATCTACATGTATGCTGGACATCCAGCGAAGATCACGGCATGATGATCCTTCCTTCGACGTGGCCAAGAAGTTCTGTGGGAGGAGAAAACAACGGAGCGCAGTGCTGAACTTCTTCCGCGAGCAGTCCAGATTACGTTCGAAAGCTAGTCCAAGTTTTCACCTTGCGGATGTCAGCACATACAGTAAAAATAGGCAGTGGCAGCGGGCTTTGTTTTTGCTCAGCGAGACCTGGGAGGTAAAGGCGGAGCTCTCCGTCATCAGCTGCACCGCTGGGATCAGCGCGTGCGAGAAGGGCTTCCAGTGGCAGCGGGCTCTGGCGCTGCTGAGCGAAATGCGGGAGGCGGAGTTGGTGCCCGACGCCATCAGCTACAATGCCGTGATCAGCGCGTGCGGCAAGGGCGAGGAATGGCAGCGGGCTCTGTCGTTGCTCTGGGAGATCCGGGAGGCGAAGTTGGAGCTAGATGTTATCAGCTTCAATGTTGGGATTAGCGCGTGCGAGAAAGTCGAGCAGTGGCAGCACGCTTTAGCTCTGCTGAGCAAGATGTGGGTGGCGAGCATGGAGCCCGACGTCATCAGCTACAATGCTGGGATCAGCGCGTGCGTGAAGGGCGAAGAGTGGCGGCGGGCTTTGGCGCTACTCAAGGATATGGCGGAGGCGAGGTTGAGTTCTAATTCCATCAGCTACAACGCTGGGATCAGTGCGTGCGGCAAGAGCGAGCAGTGGCAACGCGCTTTAGCGCTGCTGAGCGAGATGCGGGAGGTGAAGTTGGAACCCAACGTCATCTCTACTATAGTGCAGCGTCCCCCGCTAGCCAAATGGGCGAGCAGTGGCAGTGGACCGGCCCTCTTCGGCGGCCACCTGCACCACTAGCAAAATGGGCGAGCAGTGGCAGTGGACCGGCCCCCTCCGGCGGCCACAGGCGCGGCCCCGGGGCCCCGGCGCGCTTCTAAGATGGCTTAAGAGCGCTCCGAGCCGCCCCCGGAGGCCCCCAAGAGGTCCCGAAGACGGCCGAGGACGGTCCAAGAGGGCCTCCGAGACGGGCCCCGAGTGCTCGAAGACGCCCAAGATAGCCGCCAGACGGCCCAAGAGGCCTCCACAATGCTCCAAGTGGGCTCCAGAAAAAGCCCCCAGAGAGCCCGAACAAGGAAAAATCGTCCCACCCCCCAGGGAAAACGTACATTTCGGGAGTTCCCGTGCTTTTCGTCTTCGAAGCGTCCAAAACGGCCACACAGGCGCTTAAGATCGTCCCAAGACGCCTCAAGAGGCTGCCAGGAGGGCCCCAAGACGGCTCAAAACTGCGCCAGGACGGCTCCTCAGGCGCCCAGAGGGGGCCAGGACAGGCTGGGAGCGCTTCCGAGGGGCCCCAAGAGGGTACCAGGAGGGCCCCAAGAGGGCCCCGACAAGGCCCCATGACGCATGTACTTGGGTGCCCCTCTCGTAAGCCCAAGAAGGGCCTCCCGTGGCAGAATGGTGGGCCCGCGCCTGGCGGCGTCCTGGGGCCTTCTCGGAGCCCTCTTGGAGCCCTCTGACGGCCCTCTTCGTGCCCTCTTGCACGACGGCCCCAAGACGGTCCCAACACTGCCCCAGGGGCTCCCAAGACGGTCCCAAACGGCCGCGCGGTCGCGCGGCCCACCCATGGTTCGGCAACCCCCGCCGCCGGTGGCAGCAAGCACGGGTACACACTAGTCAGCTACAGTGCTGGAATCAGCGCGTGCGAGAAGGGTGACCAGTGGCAGCGGGCCCTTGCGTTGCTGAGCGAGATGTTGGAGGCGAAGTCGGAGCCCAACGTCGGCCATGCATTCTAATGCTGGGCGCTCCGCGTGCGTGAAGTCAGAGGACTCAAGTGGGCACAGATCGGCCCCTTTGGTCCTGGCGCGCCCTCAGACGCAACAGGGACGCTCCAAGACGGCCTAAGAGAGCTCCAAGACGGTCCAAGATGAACCCATATGTCTCCAGACGGTCCAAGAGATCGCCATTAGGGCTTTCAGACGGTCCAGCGGGGCCCCGAGACGGTCCAGGAGGGCTCCAAGGGGCCCTCTAAGAGGGCCTCGAGAGGCCAATATCATGGATTCCTCTAGCTTCGCGGGGTGCACGTCCGGAGCACGTACAGTCCAGTCGTTGTGGGGCCTCTTGGGAGCTTCTTTGTGGCCTCCTGGAGGTGTCTTGGGGGCTTCTCGGGGCCTCTTCTGCACTGGGCTTCTTTGGGGCCTCTTGGGGCCTCTTGGGGGCGTCTTAGGCCGTCTTGGGGGGCTCTTGCCGCGTGTGGCTCATTTGGAGGCCGGTCTGGGGGCCTCTCGAGGCCAGTCTGGGGCCTCTCGCGGCCGTAATCGTCGCTGTGGAAAAGTGCTCAAATGTGGAAGGTGTGGGCGATGGTTGGCGTGACCTGCTCGGCTGCCGCGCGTGCGTGCCGCTCCGTCCTGCAATCCCCAGGGCTCCTGGGCGGCCTCATGGGGGGTTCTTGGGAGCCTCTTGAAAACCTCGTGGGGGCTTCTTGGAGCGTCTTTGGGGCCGCTTTGGGGTCTCTTCGGGTTTCTTGTTGACGTCTTGCGCCGGCTTGGGGCGCTCTTGCGCCGTCTGGCCCCTTCGGAGGCCATCTTGGAGGCCTCTCGCGGCCGCCTTAGGGCTCTCTTGGAGTCCTCTTGGGCCGTCTCGGGGGCCCTTTGGACCGTCTTGGGGCCTCTTTTGGCCGTCTCGGGGCCCTCTTGAGCAATCCTGGGGCCCCTTTGGGGGCCTCGTTGGCCGTCTTGAGGTCTTTTTGGAGGCTGCTTGGGCGGGCATGGTCCTCTGAGAGCCGAAAAAGGCGAGAACGCTAAAATCTGGAAAAAACCGACGGAAAATCTTGGCTCCTGGAGGCGCTGTTTCGAATCCTTTCGGGGCCCCCTGGAGCCGTCTTGGGGGCCTCGCGGGCCTTCTGGGGACCATCCAGGTCCGTCTTGGGGCCGTCTTGGGCCAACATCGTGGATTTCCCATGGTTTGTACAAGTTTAGAGAGCCCGAAAAGGGGGCCACCACTTTGGTACGGCGGAGTGGCACGACTCCAAGGGGGGGTTAGGGGGGGAGACATAATAATGTAAAGCTACACGATATGTAGCAATTTTCAACGATTGAGTACAAAGATAGATTGCATTATCGCCTCCGCAGAAAACGCTGCCGCTCAGCACGTCACTTCCGGACATGGATTCCTCTCGCTTCGCGGGGTGCACGTCCGGAGCACGTACAGTCACGTCGTCGCGCGGCCTCTTGGGAGCCTCTTGGGGGCTTCTTTTGGCCTCTTGGGGACTTCTTTGGGGCCTTTCCCCCTTCCCTCCTTTTCATACACCCTCCCCATCTTCCCTTCCATCGCCGGCTCTAAGCATGGGCGCCGCAGCGACCAACTTCCGCCTCGCTTGCGCTACGCCGCAGTTCGCCCAGAGGGGGGAAAATAACCTTACACTCCAGTCGCTGTGTGGCCTTTGGGGGGCTTGTTGGGGGCCTTTTGGAGGCTTCTGGGGGACTTCTTGGAGGCTTCTTGGGGGCCTCTTGGGGCCTCTTGGGGGCGTCTTGGGCCGTCTTGGGGCGCTTTTGCGCCGTTTCGCCCCCTCGGAGGCTGTCTTGGGGGCCTCTCGCAGCCGCATTGGAGCCCTCTTGGAGTCCTCTTGGGCCGTCTTCGCTGCCTCTTGGGCCGTCTTGGGGGCCTCTTTGGGCCGTTTTGGGGCCCTGTTGGGCCGTCTTGGGGCCCTCTTGGGGGCTTTTTGCGTTGTTCTGGGGCGATTCTGGAAGCTGCTTGGGCCGTCATGGATTTTTGAGAGTCGAAAAGGCGAGAACGCTAAAATATGCCCAAACCATAGGACAATCAATGACTTCGGCCTCTGGAGGCGCAACTGTGGGCGCTCTTGGGGCCCTCTTGGGCCGTCCTTGGGGCTTTTGGGGCCCTCTTGGGGCCGTCTTGGGGGCCTCATGGGCCCCCGTTGGGAATATCTTAGGCCGTCTTGGGGCCGTCTTGGGCCGTCTTGGGGCCATCTTGGGCCATCTTGAGGCCCTCTTGGAGCCCGAAGAGGCCCAAGAGGCCGAATTTGTTGATTTCCCAATGGGTTTTTGAGTGTTTTTAGGACCCCAGAAGGGGGCGACCAGTTTGGTACGGCGCTGTGGCGCGGCTCCCCGGGGGGTTTAGGGGGGAGACATAATAATGTAACACAATACGATATGTTGCAAGTATGGAATCTTTGGATACATGGGATACGTTGCATTACGGCGTTCGCGGAAAAACGCTGCCGCTCAGCACGTCACCTCCGGACGTGGATTCTTGGGCTTACGCCGCACCGCCGACCCCTGGTAGGTCTTTCGGGGGCCTCCTGGCAGCACTTTTGAGGCCTGTTGGGTTGGCTTTTTGGAGCCTCTTGTCCTTGGGGGCTTCTTGGGGGCCTGTTGGGGCCTCCTGGAGGCTTCTTGGGGCCGAGGGCTCGAAATTTCCGCCTCCTGGAGCCGTCTTGTGGGCCTCTTGGGCCGTCTTAGGGCCCTCTTGGGCCGTTTTGGAGTCTTCTTGGGGGCTTCTTGGGCCGTCTTGGGGCGATCTTGGAGGCCTCTTAGGCCGTCTTGGACGTTGTGAAAGCCCAAGAGGCGAATATGCTAAAATTATACGTTTCCCTAAGGGAATGGGCCGATTTTTGCTTCTGGGGGCCCTCTTGGGACGCCTCTTGGGGGCCTCTTGGGGCATCTCTGGGGCCTCTTGGGCCGTCTGGGGGCCATCTTGGGCGTCTTGGAACGATCCATCGGCGACTCGGGGCCCTCTTGGACCATCTTGTGGGCCTCTGGGGGCCCTCATGTCCCGTCGTGAGGCCCGTGACGCGTTCAGCCGGGGCCGGCCGGATCCCCCCCCCTCCAAAACGACCAGACCCTCGGGGGAGGGGTTTGGGGAGGGGGAAGCATCTCACACGCCGATGACCCCAAGGGGTCGGCGGATTCCATTTCTGTTTTTGTTGGATTTTGGCGTTATCGACTTGGCAGGCTTCTGGCGCTCCACGACGGCCCAAGAGGCCCCCAATGTCGCCCCAAGACAGCCCAACAGGCCCCCAAGAGGGCCCCAGGAAGGGGCACTCGAACTGACATTTCTTGCCCCCCGCCCGACGATGACCCCCGAGACTGCCAGCAGGCCCCGAAGAGTTCCCCCAGAAGTCCCAGGAGGCCGCCAAGATGCCCGAATTAGTTTGCAAGAGGCCCCCAGGAAGCCCCCAGAGGCCCCAAGATACCCCCAAAACTATCTCCAAGAGAGGCTGCCGGAGGAAGATTCCGTAGAGAGAGAGAGAGAGAGAGAGAGCTCGAGGACAGCGCCAGTCACCCAGGAAACTCAGGCACCCATTGGGGCGGCTCCAGCCTGAATGGGCGACCAGTCGGGGAATTCTTTCTGAGAGTGTTCCGGACCCGCCGGCCACCTGGAGCATGCTCTGCAACGTCTTCTGCCTTCTTCCCAGCCTGCGCTCAGCCCGCGCGCCTCCTCCGACCTCGTCGGGCGGAAAAAGCCGCGATGTAGCATCTTTGGAAAAATATCTTGGGAAAATATCTTGGAAACATATTTTGGGAACATGTCTTTGGAAAAATATCTTGGGGAAAAACGATGTAGCCACAGCCGCGATGTAGTGTCTTAGGGAAAATATGTTACGGCCCCAGGGCGCCCCAGGATCGTCCGAGGGGCGGCCCAGGACGCCCCCTCCGACAGCCCCCGAAGCCCTCGAAGGCCAAGCCTGAGTCTAAAGTAGCCAAAGACGCCGCAAATAAGGCATGGGAAGGCGTTCGGCAGCAGCCAGCAGCAGCCAGCAGCAGCAGCAGCAGCACTAAACAGCAAGCAAGCAAGCAAGCAAGCAAGCAAGCAAGCAAGCAAGCAAGCAAGCAAGCAAGCAAGCAAGCAAGCAAGCAAGCAAGCAAGCAATGAAGCAACCAATAAAGCAGCAAGCGACAAGCAAGCTATCAAGCAAGCAGCAAACACAGTTCAAACCAATACAAGCAGACGAGCCGCTCGCAAGCAACACCAGCAGCAAACAGTCTGTTCAAACAAGCAGCACAAAACAAGCACACGCTGCTTACGCTGGTTGACGTGGGCGGAGTCCACGCGTCAAGTCTAGTCAGCTACAACGCTGCGGTCAGCGCCTGCGGGAATGGCGAGCAGTGGCAGCGCGCTTTAGCGCTGCTGAGCGAGATGTGGGATGCGAAGTTGGAGCCCGACGTCATCGGCTACAATGCTGGGATCAGCGCGTGCGAGAAGGGCGGTCAGTGGCAGCGGGCTTTGTCGTTACTCAATGAGACGTGGGAGGCAAACCTGAAGCCCAACGTTATCAGTCATAACTCTGCGATCAGCGCTTGTGAGAAGGGCGAGAAATGGCAGCGAGTTTTGGTGCTGTTCGGCAGGATGTGTGAGGTGAAGTTGCAGCCCGACGTGATCAGCTACAGCGCTGGGATCAGCGCATGCGTGAAGGGCGAAGAGTGGTGGCGAGCTTTGGCGCTGCTCAGGGAAATGGTGGAGGCGAGGTTGAATCCCAATCCCATCAGCTACAGCGCTGCGGTCAGTTCGTGTGGGAAGGGCGAGCAGTGGCAACGCGCTTTAGCGCTGCTGAGCGAGATGTGGGAGGCAAAATTTGAGCCCGACGTCATCAGCTACAACGTTGGAATCAGCAAGTGCGAGAGGGGAAAGCAATGGCAGTTGGCTCTGGCGATGCTTGGGCAGATGCGCGAGGCAAAGTTGCAGCCCAATGTCATCAGCTATAACTCTGGGATAAGCGCGTGCGAGAAGGGCGGGCGGTGGGAGTTGGCCCTGATGCTGCTCAGGAACATGTGTGAGGCAAAGATAGAGCGTGGCGTCATCTAGGCTCCAATGCTTGGGTCAGTGTTCGCGAGACTTCGCTGCCGTGGCAGCGGGCCAGGGGTGCTCCCGGCGCTCCCGGCAATCCTAGGGCGGTCATTGGGGCGGTCCTGGACGGCCCTGAGCGGCCGCCAGAAGGCCCCAAGACTTCCAACGACGGCTCAGAGACGCTCCAGAGAGCACCCGGAAGGCACCAGAGCACCCGAAGCGAGCCCCCGAATGTTCCGAGACGGCCCCTAAGACACGCCAGGAGGCCTCCCACGAAGGCCCAAGAGGACTCCGATGCTGGCCCCACGAGGCCCAAATTGTCTGTTTCCCTTTGGTTTCGACGGGTTTCCAGTTCCTCCTTCTTCCGCATCAAGAACGGCTCCGAACGGCTCCTGCATCGTGCAAACATGGCCCAAGAGACTCCCAAGAGAGGCCTTCGAGGGCCCCAAAGGCTCCCCAGACGATCCCCAGAGCGCCCAAAGACGGTCCCAAAGAGCCGCGAATCCTTCCCGAGAAGGCCCAAGAGAGAGTCCCCACAGAGCCCTCCAGAGCCCCCGAGACGCCCCAGGACGGCCCCAAGGCGATTCTGCACTAAGCTTCGGGGACAGTCCCCCAGAAGAGGCTCTTGGGGACAGCCTGGCAACGGCCCCCGCGGCGCTCCAAATACTGCAAGAGGCCTTCCAGATGCCCCAGTCAGGCTCGCAGAAGGAACCAACATGCCCCCGACACGGCCCCAGAGACACCCAACATGTCCCACGACGGGCTCCTCCAGCGCCAGGCAGGCTCCCAGTAGTAGTAGTAGTAGTAGTAGTAGTAGTAGTAGTAGTAGTAGTAGTAGTAGTAGTAATAGTAGTAGTAGTAGTAATGGTAGTAGTAGTAGTAGTAGTAGTAGTAGTAGTAGTAGTAGTAGTAGTAGTCGTAGTAGTCGTAGTCGTAGTCGTAGTCGTAGTAGTGTAGTAGTAGTAGTAGTAGTAGTGGTGGTGGTGGTGTGGTGGTGGTGGTGGTGGTTAGTGGTAGTTT